ATAATGAACATTTGTATACCTAACCCTGAATTGTACCCCACATCTTTAAAAATAAAAAAATTAAAAAACAGAGCTAATCAACTGCAAAACACACACACACACACACACACACACACGCACACACACACACACCCACACACACCCACACAGAGTTCTTACTAACAAAAGAAAATTTGTGCATGCTAATTATTACCAGGTCATATAATCACTAGTTCTCTGTTGGATGATAGTGAAAAGCATATGCGTTGGGAATTTTAAGAGTATATGGGGTCATTCTATCTCTACAGATATTCTTAATTTTATTCTGGAGAAAGACTCTCAAAAAATGCACATTATTTTGACTCTTTTTACTGAATGATGCTTGTGTTTCTTTGCCTACACTGATGCATAAGAAACCTTCTTATGCAATTGTTCGTTGACAGGAGAATGAAAAATAAAACGCGCTATACTCACACCGAAATACCATACAACAGTAAAAATAAATAAACTACAACACACAGCAGCATAGTTTAATATTTAAAATGTAATGTTGAACAAATAAAGCAATTAGCAGAAGAATACAAATGAACGGATTCCATTTATATGTGTAGAGATGCATGTGAAATAAAAATACAAAGAAAAGCAAGAAAATAACGCACACAACATTTTCAGGGAGTATAAAAGAGTATACCGTCAGGGAAGGCCTCAAAAAAATTAGAACTGGCAAGGTTCTAATTTTTATGATGCAAAGTGAGATACTTTGTTGGCATGTTATGTCTTTCATGTATCATGGATCTATACCTGCATATGTACATTTGTATAAAATTTGTGTGCATATATATATATATATGGTATATTATCATGTTTTATTTTATTTTTGCTTTTACAATTTTATTTTGGATTCATGGGGTACTCGGGTAGGTTTGCTACGTGGGCATACTGCGTGACGGGGAGGTCTGGGTTTCTATTGAATCCATCACCCACATGGTAAGCATGGCACTCGCAGGTACTCTTTCAACCCCTGCCGCCCTCCCTTCCTCCACCCTTTAAGAGTCCTCGGGATCCACTGTTCCCATCCTTATGCCTGTGTGCGCCCATATTTAGCTCCCATTTATAAGGAAGAACTTGCGGTATTTGGTTTCTGTTCCCGCGTTAAATTCATTTAGAATGATGGCCTCTCGCTGCTTCCATGTTGCTGCAAAGGACATTGTTTCCTTCTTTTCGACGACAGCATAGTGTGCCATGGGGTATATGGGCCACATTTTCTTTAGGCAGTTCACTGTGGATGGGCACCTGGGCTGGTTTCATGTCTTCCCTGTTGTGAATTGCGCTACCATACGTGCATGAGTGCAGGTGTCATTTGGTGAATGATGGCGTTCCTCTGGGTACCGTTGTCTCCTACGATAAACAAGAAGATGGAGGTGTCACATGCAGCCTGCTCCTGCACCGTCCCCAGGGTGCTGGGTACACAGTGCATCGTACAACTCCAGTCTGCTATGTCACGGCCTGTTGAGATGCTCCTCGTCGGTCCTAGACCCAGGATGAGTCACTGACTCCACAGGGCACCTGGCTTGCTTTAATGTTTGAACTCTTGCTAGGCAACTTCTCTTCTTGATTTTAGTCCAAAAAGGAAGTTCAGAATCCAATGTATGGCCCTCGCCATGAAAAGAACAGGACTGCTTCGAGGGCGTTTGTCACACCAGCCTTTCTCCTTTGAGGGGACGAGAGCAATCCTGTCCCTGGCCTTCCTGACAGTCTTGAGGCATTCGGCCCCGTCGAATGTTCCGGCTTCTTGAAGGATAGACATTCATCCCCTCCTCTCCCCAGAGCTCTCCCCCTGACCCCCTGCCATGTTTCTTGCTCTTCTTCAAAAGTGGGCTGTGTTGGGTTCTCCGGTAACTCTGGGTTTGTTTCAGACGCAGGAGAGGAGATGCCACAAGGAGGTCTACACCTTGCCCTGGTGTGTCCTCGCCGGAGTCACCCAGTCTGGCTGGGCATGAGTTTCATCATCTGTAAGAAAGGAGGAACCTGGCAGCCTCTCCTGTCGTGGCTGCTGTGAAGTTTCAAATGCAGGGATGGCACAGCGCGTAGGACGTGCGGTCTCTCCTGGTCCCCAAGTGGTTGGCTGTCACCTCCTGTCTCCGCCCCCGTCAGGCCTGGTGCTTCTCCTGGGAGTTAAGCAATATGTTCTCAGTGTTTCCTTAACTCTCCCCAAATGGTTGCCTCAGCATTGTCGTCATTTTCATGCTGTGGCATTTGTTGACAACACCAGTCTGGCTATGCGGTGTCTTTTTTTGTTTTTTTTTGAGTTGGAGTCTCAATTGGTCACCCAGACTGGAGTGCAGTGGCCGCTCCCGGCCACTGCAGCCTCGACCTGCTGGGCTCCGGCGATCCTTCCGCCTCAGCCTTCCAAGTAGCCGGAATTACAGGCGTGCGCTACCACGCCCGGCTGATTTTTTGATTTATTGTAGAGATGAGGTCTGGCTGCCCAGGTAGGTCTCGAACCTGCGGGCTCAGGCAATCCATTCACCTCATCCTCCCAAAGGCGTGAAATTATAGGCTAAGCCACCAAGCCCGGCCCTCAAGACAATTTATATGCCAAATATACAGTATGATTTCCTATTTCTTCATTTGTACAAGTAGTACCTGAAAGAATTTCGGCACCAGTAATGACTCCACACCCGGCCAGGACCAACAGATTTATTAAAGGGGCTGTTACAGAGAGGATCTGTAACGAAGGAAAAAAAGAGAGAGAGAGTTGCAGGGAGTGGGCTGTATTTATTAGCCTGACAGGGGCCGGAAGGGGCCGTGCTATGTTTCTATTGGAGGAGCTGCATGGGAGTAGGGTGGGGGTGACGCTGTGTTATAGTCCTATTGGATGCATAACAAAGCTGGCTAAGGATTGGAGGCTTGCAGGTTTGAACTTCGTGCTCGCGGGGAATTGTGCACACAGAAACCGGGACATAGGGCCTTTGTTGTCTGGTGTGTCCTCACCATGCTCGGTGCCATTTTGGGAGCCGCCCCTCTGGTCGCTTCCTGCACCCTTCAGTACCCACTTACATATCAAATTGAACCAGTTTCCATGTTAGAGCAGCATAAAGTAAAATGCCAATCTGCTTGCAAATTTTTATTTTGTGAGTTAGAATGAGTAATATTTTTTCCTGTCTTATTTACTCTTGGATTGACTTCCCATGACACCCTCCATACTTCTACTCATTTCTCTCCCTATAACATCTTTAGTGTGTGCTCAAGAAATATAAAGTAGTTTTAATAGGAACATAAATAAAACACAATTCAAAGAGAAGAAATTATTGAAAACAACAAAAGTGTCATTATGGAATATATTCCAAAACTCTAAGTATAAGTAGCAGAGTTCACCTTCCCCAGCAAGGGCAGTTGATATTTGACTGCAATTTAAAATGGCAAGGTCAGTGGAAGAGCTTTGGAGATTGAATTCTTTCACAGACTTTGAACCCTAGAAGCTCAAGACCAGAAACGACTCTTGAAGAGCCTACATGATGTGCAGTATCACCATGGGCAGCATTTCTTTTTTTGGAATTTTTCATACCATAAAAACCTGTTAGAATTTGCCATTAGTAATCTGGTTTATCATCTCTAAAGTGTCTTTAATAATGAAATTAATAGCTACAAAGGGTTATATTGAGGACCTTCTTGCATACGTAAAGGAAATTTTAAAAGCTTACTTTTTTAATGACACTGAGTTTTTCTTAAAACGTTTCACACATTCAAAGTAACATAATTTTTTGGCCCCAGCCAGTGTATCATTCACTTAAAAGTTAGCAAAACTCATTAAATATTAAGTATGTTTTCTTTACTAAAGAATTCTTCAACACACAGTTTAACTTAAAATCCTGACACATGACACAGTAGAATGTAGTTTGAGTGATCGCCTGGATGACTGCATTGCAAGTTTCACCTCCTCCTATTTGTAGTCATTTGTGCAATCTTTGGGGTGATTCTTGCATTTCCCCCTCATTTTGCAATAGCTCGTGACACATCTGGTTAGAAACAGGGCACATAATGGATACTGCATACCAATACTATGCAGATAATGAAAATAAAGTGATTATGCTGTAACTTAAAACAATGTGACATCTAAGCCACCAAACAAGATATTTCTAGAAGGGAACCAACACACACTGACAGATGTCACCCAGTTCAATTCCTTTTGTTTAATGCATTCATTTGCATAGTTAAGCAACTTATTCAAAGTGCATCTAAACAATTCTATTCTCAGCATGTATACTCTCAGTAGGTGAATGGACAACTAAGGTATAAAGCAAAGCCTAAATTATGCAGCTTATGAAAGGAATGTCTCCTCTCTGCAGGGTTAAGTAACAAATGGGACCTACTCAAAGGGTTGATTGAAATAACTGTATTACTAACCCCCTTCCAAGAGCCCCAAATAATCACATCTACTGGTGTCCTCACCAAAAATTAGATTACACTAATGGCAATTGTTCAGGTGAGTGATTTTTTAAAAATATGTAATACTAATCAGCAACAGTGAGATCACAAGCAAGAAACCGTCTAGTGTTAAAGGTTAAAATTCTACTGATTTTGAACCTGTTTTCCTGCTAGATTTGAGCTTTCCTTGGTGCTAAATATTTTCTCCAAACAAACTTTAGGTAAAACTGTTACCACATAGAATGTATTTTTTCAATCTGCTTACATCCCTGGGTGGTGCATTATAGACTGTTGCCATGGTAATAGGCAATGAACAACAGAATTAAATGGTCTCCATACCATGGTGATAATTTTTCCATTTGCCTTATTGATGATACCATAGTGGCAGGCATTAGCTATTTTAATCCCATTTTTGAACTAGGAACCACCTCCTCAGCTTAGAGTAATTGGGATTCGCAAAACAGTACTAAATTCCTAGCTCTGATCTCTGTGTTTATTTTATTAGTAACTAACATCTAGAATAAGCAAGAGTAAAATGTTGGACATAAACATTTTTGCCTTATCTTCCATCTTATGACCACGATGTTATTTGATACTAACCTTGATAGCTACATTCTAGTATTTAAAACCTCTGTATATTATGTTTCTAATTTTACCAAAGATTCAGTGACTTTCTACTTGATTTATATTTGGCGATTATGCCTTACTATCACTCCTTTGACCTCTGTAAGATATTCAAAAAGACTCAACTTAGCAGGTTAGAATAGCCTTTAGCTATGCATTTGTAAAGTAGTGGGAGGTCACTTTAATCATGTTTTTATGAAGTGATGAACTATCTGACAAGAGGTGTGCGTGTGAGACATAAAGAAAGAGAGAGTTAGTTGGTGGTTTAGTAGTGTTAAGACAGACTGATTTTTTGGGGATGTATAGTTACATGTTTCGACCCCTAGATTTGCTGTGGCTGTATCGTTTTTAAATAGTCAAGGTCAAAGAGTCTCTTTCCATAAAGTTCTGGTTGAACCATTATTTTTCTTAAGGAGCCAAATGAAAAGTATACAACATGGCATTTGTCAAAGATTTAAGAATAATATGTTAATTTTCTCATAATCCTGAACATGCAACAGGATCACCAAGAGAATGGCCATGCATAGAGGTCATGTGATCCTTCTAGGCTCCTAAGAATGCTGAGAACCCAAAGTAAATTCCATTTTCATTTATTTAGTTACAGGTCAGAAGTGAAAGCGAGGCAAGATGTGAAACCAGACATCCGACAGCCTCCATTCACGGACTACAGGCAGCCCCCACTGGACTACAGGCAACCCCCAGGAGGGGACTACCAGCAGCCCCCACCCTTGGACTACAGGCAGCCTCCCCTGCTGGACTATAGGCAGCACTCCCCCGACACCAGGCAGTACCCTCTGTCGGACTACAGGCAGCCCCAGGTACCTCTGTCCAGAGGTGATGGGCCTTTACCAAGACTTCCTGAAGTGCAAGGAATTAAATAGAAGGAGAGGGAGAGGAAAAAGCATCCTTCTGGGATAGAGAACCAAAGTTCTGGTCCTAATTCTGATAGCACTGGGATAATAATCGCATCCTCAAAATGCATGAGATAAAAACATCTATTTCAGAGTAAAGCAGGACAATGAATACATGAATGAATAAGTAAAACTGAATAAATGGTAATGGGATGAACTAGTCCCTGCTAAATTTAGTGAGCTAACTTTCAGTACATTTCTTTATGTCGAGGTTTAAAAAGTACTCTTATCTGGAACCTCAAAGAGTGCTGTTAATGCAGAAAATTTTACAGATCCAGAAGGGGAGATATTTTAGATACATAGTATTTACAAGGTCCCCCACCTCCCACTTGTGTGCATAATGATAGGTCCGGGACCAGCTTCATAATCCGGAGTGTAGCCTCTACAATGATCAACAAGTTCCTTTCTATACAACCAATGATGCAGGTGTTGTGATTCTTTGTTGATGCTGGATGCATCTCATGACAACTTCTTTAACCTCGCTGAGCTTCAGTTTCCTAAAGGGAGGGTTCTGGGATGAGGATTCAACATTTATGAAAAGTGTCTAGACCAGAGTTTATAATCTAGTAGATATTTACTACCGGTAACTAGATACCAAGACATAAACTAAGTACAATTTTAACTCTATCAGAATACAGTGTTTTCTCATGAAGTGAAGATCACCTTTATCTGCAAAGATTTTAAGAACAGTGAAGGTCAGGAAATCTTGGACATGCTGCATTTTAGGTAAAAGAAAAACTGATTTTGTACACTCCATCTTGATATTCAATAATCTGTGCAACTGATGTAGTCAGATGCCATTAAATTTCACTTTTTTCATCAGCAAACTGTAATTTACACACACACACGCACACATGTGCACACACACACATCTGATACATTTACTTATGATGCTTAACAGGAGTGATTGACAAAACTCAAAGGAGGAGAGAGTATGTCATTCAGGTCTATATGCAATAATTACATGTTTGCCAAGTAAACTGATGAATACCAAAATAAACAAGCTACACAGTAGTTCTTTTGATGACCAAGTAAACTGTGTCCTGACCTGCTTAAGCTTTGGAATTTTGACTTGCATTTGGATATTTTATGAAGTCAGATTATTACTTCTCACAATATCATATCCCTTGGAATACATTAGTTATTAGAGAGAGGGAAAAGAGAGATATAGTCAGAAGCTTCTCTGATACTAAACAAATGTTTACTCCTTCTCTCTATCCCCAAAGGATTTTGATTATTTCACCGTGGACATGGAGAAAGGAGCCAAAGGATTTGGATTCAGCATTCGTGGAGGAAGGGAATACAAAATGGATTTGTTTGTGTTGAGACTGGCAGAAGATGGGCCAGCAATAAGGAATGGAAGAATGAGGGTAAGAACAGTCTCTTTTTGTAGACTTGCTTAGTTCTGAAAGAAAGACCCACTGTGGTATTTAAAGAGTGCCGAAGCATGCTATCAAACAGACTCCATGCAAGTTTGCCTTCTTCCTAGTTCATGACCTGATTTTTTTAAAGTTTGGCCAAATGCTATTTAAGAATTATAATATCTCTTGTTTTTCATCTTATACATTCTAATTGATAAATCTTAATATAGTGTTATTTTTCTAAAAAGCAAACTAAAGAAAATGAAAGAGTAAAGAAGTCTAAGAAATAGCTTGAAATGGAGATATTACTTTCTCTGGTTTGATGATTTTGTTTTCATTGAGGTTGAATCTTTTGAAATTTGTTTTTAGTTTTAAATCTCATCTCCCTCCACATGTTTATTATTCGAATGGTTTGGTAATTTTCTGGAAAAATTTTTTTTTTCATTAGGAATGTGGAGTGCAAGTGAGGATTGACTACATAAGTAGGTTGCGTGCAGGTGAAGTTTGGGGGGGGTTGGGGAGGGGTTTTGAGTTGGAGTCTCACTCTGTCGCCCAGACTGGAGTGCAGTGGCATGTTCCCGGCCACCGCAGCCTCGACCTGCTGGGTTCCGGCAACCCTCAGCCTTCCAAGTAGCCGGAACTACAGGCGCGCGCTACCTCACCTGGCTAGTTTTTGATTTATTGTAGAGATGAGGTTTCGCCCAGTTGCCCAGGCAGGTATTGAACCCGTAGGCTCAGGCAATTCACTCACCTCGGCCTCCCAAAGTGCTGGGATTACAGGCTGAGCCACCAAGCCCAGCTGAGATTTGGGCTTCTAACTGCCCCTCACTCCCCCTGGTAATGAATAAGTACCCTTTGTGTTGTCACATGCCCCTCATCCTTCTCCCTCCCTTCCTCTTCTAGCAGTGCCCCGCAACTGCCTATCCCTTCCTAGTGCTGATGTGACTATTGTTCAGGGCCCACTTATGAGTGAAACACGCAGCTTTGTTTCTGCCATAGTACAGTTAGTATGATGGTCTCCAACTCCAACCAATTTGCTGAGAAGTCCATGATTTTATTCTTCTTTATGGCTGCATAATACTCTATCATGTATATGTACCACATTTTCTTTATCCAGTTCACTTTTGATGGGCAGTAGGGCTGATTCCATGTTTTTGTTATTGTGAATAGTGTGGCAATAAGCATGCATATACAGGCATCTTCTTTGTAGAATGATTTATGTGCCTCCGAGTATACTCCTAGGAGAGGGATTACTGAATTGTATGGAAGGTAAATATTTAGTTGTTTTAGGAATGACCACACTGCTTTCCATGGAGGTTGAACTAGCTTGCACTCCCACCAACAGTGTAGAAGTGTTCCTTTTTCTTCACACCCATGACAGCATCTATTGTTTTTTTACTTATTAATGATAGCCATCCTTACCAGATGATGATTAATGATGGCTGAGCATTTTTTCATGTATCTGTTGGCTGCTTGTATGTTATCTTTTGAGAAGTGGTTGTTCATGTCCTTTGCCCACTTTTTAGTGGGTTTTTTTTGTTTGTTTGCTTGTTTTCCTTTTACTTCGTTTGAGGTCCCTGTAGATCCTAGATGTTAGGCCTTTGTCAGATAGATAATTTGCAAATATTTTTTCCCATTCTGTGGGTTATCCCTTTACTCTCTTGATGGTTTCTTTTGCTGTGCAAAAGCTTTTCAGTTTGATGAGGTCCCACTTGTCTATCTTAGCTTTTATGGCTTTCACTTTCAGGGATTTGGTCTAGAATTTATTGCCTACTCCAATGTGCATAAGAGTGTTTCCTACATCTTTTTCTAGGATTCTTATAGCTGAGGTTTTATGTTTATGTCTTTGATCCATTTTGAGTTTTTTTTTTTTTATATGATGATATGTAGGGGTCCAGTTTTATTCTTCTGCATGTGGTCATCCAGTTTTCCTAGCATCCAGTTTTCTCCTTTCCCTAATGATTGTTACTGGTGGCTTTGTCAAAGAAGAGTTGGTTGACAGACTACATTTTTGCTTCTGTAATCTATATCCTGTTCCATTGTCTGTATGCCTATTCTTGTTCCAATACCAGGCTGTTTTGGTTACTTGTACTAATGTTTGAAAACGAAAGTGTGCTACCTCCTACTTAGTTCCTTTTACTGATGACTGTTTTGGCTATTTGTGTTCTTTTCTGTTTCCATATGAATTTTTGTATTGTCATTTCCATGTCTGAAAAAATGATGTTGGTAATTTGATGGGTTATTGCATTGAGTATGTAGATTGCTTTGAGTAGGACAGACATCTTGACAATATTGATTCTTTCAATCCATGAGCATGGTATGTTTTTCCACTTGTTTGTTTCATTCTTGATTTCTTTGAGTAACATTTTGTAGTTCTCATCATAAAGGTCTTTCACGTCCCTGGTTAGGTGAATGCCAAGGTATTTTTGTGTGTGTTGCTATTGTGAATGGGATTGTGCTTTTTATTTGGTTGTCTACCTGCTTGATGCTGGTGTATAGAAATGCAACTGCCTTTTGCATGTTGATTTTGTAACCTGAGACTTCACCAAAATCATTTATCAGAGAAATGAGACTTTTGACAGACTCCCTAGGATTTTCAAGGTATAAAATCATATTGTTTGCAAAGAGTTATAGCTTGACTTCCACTTTTCCTATTTGGATACCCCTGATTTCCTTCCCTTGCCTATTGCTCTGGTTAGGACTTCCAGTACTATGTTGAATAGGAAGGGTAAAAGTGGGCATCATTGTCTTGTTTCTGTTCTTAGGGGGAATGCTTCCAGCTTCTGCCCATTGAGCAAAATGTTAGCTATGGGTTTTTCATAGATGGTTCTTACTGTCTTGAGGAATGTTTCTTCTACACCTAGGTGCTCAAGGGTTTTTATCAAGAAAGGATGCTGGATTTTGTTGAATGATTTTTCTGTATCTAATGATATAATCATGTGGTTCTTGGTTTTACATCTGTTAGTGTGCTGAATTATGTTTATAATCTTGTTAATGTTGAGCCAGCCCTGCATCCCAGGAATGAAGCCCACCTGGTCATGGCAGATGATTCTTGACATTTGTTGTTGGATCCAATTGCTAGAATCTTGTTGAGAATTTTTGCATCTATGTTCCTCAAGATGATTGATCTCTTTCCTTGTTGGTTCTTTGCCAGGTTTGGGTATGTGTGTGATGTTATCTTCATAAAATGAGTTGGGAAGCATTCTATCCTTCTCAATTGCCTAGAATAATTTCAATAAGATTGGTATCATCTCCTCCTCAAATGTCTTGGAGAATTCAGCTTTTAAACCATCTGGTTTAGAGCTTTTTTTGGTGGGGAGATGTTTTATGACTGAGTCAATTTCCTGGATTGTTATTGGTCTGTTTATGGTTTCAGTTTCTACTTGTTTCAACCTTAGGAGTTTGTGTGATTTTAGAAAGTCCTCCATTTCCTCTAGGTTTTCTAGTTTATTTGCAAACAGGTGTTCATGGTAATCTCTAATAATCTTTTTAATTTCTTCAGATCAGTTGTGACTTCACCTTTTATATTTCTAATCATGGTTATTTGAACTTTCTTTTTTGTTGTTTTTTGGGTTTTTTTGGAGGACTTTTTGGTCAATTTGGCCAGGGGTCTGTCAATCTTATTTATCCTTTCAAAGAAGCAGCATTTTGCCTTGTTGATTCTATGAGTTGTTTTTTGTTTGTTTGTTTGTTTGTTTATTGTCTTCTACATCCTGCAATTGTGATTTTTATTTTGGTGATCTGAATTCTTCTGCTGGAGTTAGGGTTTAGACAGTCTTGCCTTTCCAGCTCCCTTAGGTATGACATTAGGCTATTTACTTGTGATGTTTCTGTTTTCTTGATATGTGCATGCAATGCTATGGATTTTCCTCTTAACAATGCTTTCATGGCATCTCAGAAATTCTGATAAGATGTGTCTTTGGTTTTTTTTTTTGTTTCTGGGATCTTTTTATTTCTGTCTTGATTTTCACATTGACCCAGAAGTCATTCAGCAGCATGTTGTTTAGTGTCCATGCATTTGTGTGTTTGCGGGGATATTGTTGGTGGTAATTATTTTTATTCTACTGTGATCTGAGAAGATGCATGGTATTATTTCAATCTTTTTAAATTAGTTCATGCTTGATTTATATCAAGAATGTGATCGATCTTGGAGTATGTTCCATGTGCTGGTGAGTATAATGTGTACTCTGTAGATTTGGGGTGAATTGTTCTGTACATATCTACTAAATCCATTTGATTGAGTATCAGGTTAAGGTTCCAGAGCTCTTTGTTGCTTTCTGGGGTTTTTTGTTTGTTTGTTTGTTGTTGTTGTTGTTGTTGTTTTTGCCTCAATCATCTATCTAGAGCTGTTAGTGGGGTATTTAGGTCTCCAGCTATGATTATGTGAGAGTCAAGGTCTTCTCTTAGTTTACTTAGTAGTTGTGTTATAAAAACTGGTGATCCTGTGTTGGATGCATATATGTTTAAGACGGATATTTCTTACTGGTAGATTGAACTTTTTATCACTATGTAGGATCCTTCTGTGTCCTTTTATGTTTGAAGTATGCTTTGTCTTATATCAGAATAGCTACTTCTACTTTCTTCTGTTTCCATTTACTAGAAAGATCATTTTCCAGCCCCCAACTTTGAGTCTGTTGGTGTCTTGTGCTATGAAATGAGGTTCCTGGAGGCAGCAGACTATTGGATCATGTTTCTTTATCCAGTTTGCCACTCTTTGTCTCTTCAGTAGTGCATTTAGTCCATTCATGTTCAATTTGACTATTGAAATGTGAGAGTTTATCCCTATCATAGGGCTCTTAGGAGGTTGCTTTGTTTCCTTTTTACTTTGTAGTTATATGTGTGTGTATTTTCATTTTTGTGAGTGCTCCATATGCTCTGTTGACTCTGTGCTTGCATGTACTTTTGTGATGGGCATGACCATTCTTTTTTTTTTAATCTATGTTCAACACCTTCTTAAGCGTCTCCAGAAGGGCTTGTCTTGAACAGCATATTCTCTTAGAGTTTGGATG